TGAAGGTAGAAATCTGGGAGAGATAACAGTGAAGAGACAGACAGGACACTATGGACAGAACCTGTCTGAACCCTGCCTACCAGAGAATCAGTTGTTGTTTTTTAACGGGATGATATTACAATATGGGAGGGTACATGAAAGAAGGGGAGTAGCACAGAGGGACAGAGAGGAGTAAGTTATGCACCAAGGTGAAATCAAGGGCTAGCAATGAGGGGAAGATGACATCTGCAGTCTCAGAAAGAGAAAAACTTACAGAGGAGTGGTTGAGGAGGAGATAAGAAGAATTAAAAAGTGAGGGGAAAGGAATGAGGTCTTACTTTTGGTGGTGGGAGAGGGTTCCATTAATGAATGATACAATGGGTCAGCAAAGGGAGATAGGGACCTTCCACTGTGAATGGCCTGAAGGATTTTGGTGCTTAAAAAGTCTATTTCTTTCATCAGGTGAGACTGGAATCCCTGGGGGCAAGTGGCACCTTGGGGAGTAGGTGAGTTTAGACTGAGGGAGGAGATTTTGAGGAAAATATGGACAAAAAAAGTAAACAGGGAAGGCTATAGATCTGCGAGAGCAGCATAATTAAGGATGTGGTGGGAGAAGGGCCCTATCATGGGACAGTATTCTCTCTGATATGTGGCAATAATTGGCATCGTTCTGGGAGTGAGGCACAATGGAAAAGGGAAATACATGGGACAAGCTCTACAAGGTAATGGCAGAAACTGCATAGAAAAAAATAGACACTTTGGAAGTTTTGATTACATGAGGAATGTGGAGAAACGAGAGAAACCATATAATTATAGGGGTCATGAATCAAAGAATGTGGGTCTAGAGCAGGCAGAAAGAGAAAATGGATAATGAAAAGAGTAAGAGAAATCCTTTTGCGGAAAGGGTGCCAAAAAAAGAAATTTAAAAAAATAAATGAAAAGAACTAGTTGAATGGGAAGAGAAGGAGGAATCTAATGCTAGAGTAGAAAAAAAGGGGTGGGGAAAGAATTACAAACCAGATAAAAGCAAGAGAGAAAACAAAACTAAAGAAAACAAAATAAGCAAAACCCCACAGGGAAAGGGTTAACAAATAAGAGAAAGCAATCAGGCGTGAAGGGGAAAAGATATAATGAGAATAGGATACCTTAAAACAAATATTAACATAATTGAAGGAAAATAATATTTTGTTTACAGCAGAAGAAAGAGAAAAAATAACTTCGAAAAAACCAAAATATTAGCGATGGACAAAGGAAAACATAAACCTAATTCTTATAATTTTAAATGGGAATGGATTAAATAAATCCAATAAAATGAAAAAGAGTGACAGATTGGATAAGAAAATAAAACCCTACAATCTGCTGCCTATAAGAAACACATTTAAAAAACAAATATAAACACAAAATAAAATTGAGGGGATGGGAATAAAATTTACTATGCATGAAGTGAAATCTAAGCATGAGTTGCAATCATGCTGAAAAAGCAAAAACAAACCTTTAAAAAATAAAAAGGGATATACAAAGAAAACTACATTAAGCTGAAAGGAGCCAGAGACAACACTATGAGCAATAAAACATACACTCCAAATGCTTTCCCATCAAAATTATAAAGGAAACATGATCTGGGCTTCAAGAAGACATAGACAGTAACAAAATGGTGACAGGAGACTTCAATATCCCTCTCCCAGTTTTGGATAAGTCTCACAGAAACAGAGACAAAAGAGAAAATATAGAACTGAACAAACTGTCAGAGAAACTAAATTTGAAAGACTTAAGGCATCATTTCTAAATAAGACAGCAAAAGAATATGCATATTCAGGGGTGGAGAACCTGTGGACTCGAGACCACACATCGCCCTCTACGTCCTCAAGTGAGGCCCTTTGACTGAATCCAAACTTCACAGAACAAATCTCCTTAATAAAAAATAAAAAGTCCTGTAAAACTTGGACTCAGTCCAAAGACCACACCCAAGGACCTAAAAAGCCATATATGTCCTGGAGGCCACAGGTTCCCCACCCCTGCATATTTCTCAAGTACCACATAAAACTTTTACCAAAAAATGACCATAAGTCAAAGAGATATTGCAAACAAATAAAAGGCAGAAATACTTAATACATATTTATAGACCAAAATATTTTTTAAAATTGTTTTGTTAACCACAAACAAAAGTTATAGACCCAAATGGAGATTCAATGATGAAATCCTAAATAAGGAGTGCGTCAAAGAACAATTCATTTAAAAAAAAACTACACAAAAGATAATGATGAAACAATATACCAAAATTTCTGTGATGCAGGTAAAGGAGTCCTCAAAGGGAAAATCATATCCTTAAAAACAAACATTAACAAAATAGAAAAAGAAACATTAATGAAATCAACATGTATTTTAAAAATTAGAGGGGAAATAGATAAATTAGAAATGAAAACCCCAGAAATATTAAATAAGACTAAAAGCTGGTTCTTCAAAATGACTAACCAAATTTATTGACTCTTAGCTAATCTGACTAAAAAGAAGGTAGGAGAAAATAAAATAAAATGGCAAATAAACCAAGTGAAATCACAGCAAAACCAGAGGAAATTAAAAGCAAAATGTAAACATATTATGCATGGTTATATACTAACAAAGCTGAGAATACAAAAGAAACAGAGAAATACCTTCAAAAATATAAAGTATTCAAACTATCAGAAGACCAGATAGAGATATAAATAATCCAATTTCAGTAAAGAAACAGATCTAGCTTTAAAAGAAGTACTAAAGAAAAAAACAAAACAAAACAACAACAACCTGGTCCTGATGGATTCACAGGAGAATTCTATCAAACTTTTAAAGAATAATTAGTACTTAAACTTCACAAATTATTCTCAAATGCTGAAAAAAAAAGAACCCAACCAGAATTTTTTTCTAATACTTACAACAGAGAAAGTTAAACACAGGGAAAAACTAAAGGCCAATATCATTAGTGAATACTGACTCAAAAATTATGAACAAAATTCTATCAAACAGAGAAGAGTCATTTATCCAAGAAATCATTCATTATCCAGTAGGATAGTTCAACATTAGAAAACAATCAACATGATCATATTAAAAACTAAAACATCCAAAACCACATTATCATTGTGATAGATTCAGAAAAGGAGTCTGACAAAGTACAATACTTTTTAAAGCTAAGAACTCCACAAAGTATAGGCATAGAGGGACTTTTAAAAAAACAATCATAAAGAGCACATATCTAAAACCAAAATCAAGTATCATATGCAATGGAGCTATACTACAATCTTTTCTAGTAAATACAGGAGTGCAGCAAGGATGCCCATTCTTCCCATTATTATTTGATATAGTTCTGGAAATGCTAGCAATAGCAATGAGACAAGAGAAAGAAATTAAAGGAATAAAGAAAAGTAAAGGGAGATAAAACTGTCCTATCAGTTGACAATATGATGGTTTACTTGGAAAATCATAGGGAATGAGTTAAGATAGTAACTGATACAACAGCTAAATCCTCAAAAATCAACAGCTTTTAAATATAATATATAATAACAATATATGCAATTTATAATAATGATATAATAATATTAATAACAATCAATGTAACAATAACAAAGCACAAGAAGCAGTAATAGAAATTCCATTCTAAAAAAGTACAAAATGTATAAAATATCTGGGAATCACTTTCACAAGGTACACAAAAGACACACACAAAAATAGATTAAATCACAAAGTGCTCCTTAAAAAATAAAGAACAGCCTAAATAGCTGGAGAAATATTTAGTGCTAATGGCTAGGCCATGTCAATATAATAAAAATGAAAATACTATCAAAATTAATTTACACTTTTAATGCAATACCAATCAAACCCCCAAAGGGATACTTTATAGAACTTGACAGAATAATAACAAAATTCATTTGGAAAAAAAAAAAAAGATCTAGACTATCAAGGGAAATGACAGAAGTAGGGATGAAGAAGGAAAAGCACTTCTAGACCTGAATGCATATTACAAAGCAGCGGTTATCAACACTATCTGGTACTGGTTAAAGAACAGAGAGATCAATGGAACAAACAAGACAAGAGAGACTCAAAAATAAAACGCAATAACCCAGTGTTTGATAAAAGTGAAAAACAAAAAGTTCTCAAAAAGAAGAACTGCAAAGTATTCACAACCACGAGAAAGAATCCTCCAAATTACTAATGAGAAATACAAATGAAAATAACCCTGCAAACTGGTAAATATGACAGAAAACTGGCAACAATCAATGTTGGAGGGTAGTGGAAGGATAGGCACACTAATAATACATTGTTGGTGGAGCTGTGAAATGGTACAATCATTTTTGAAAGCAACTTGGAACTATGCAAATAAAGTGACTAAACTGCCCATGGCTTTTGAACAAAAGACTCCATTGCTAAGATTATACATCAGGGAAGCCATTGATAAGAAAAAGCTCCCCACATACTCCAAAATATTTATAGCAGCACTTTTTGTGGTGGCAAAGAACTGGAAACAAGGTACATGCCCATCAATTGAGGAATAGCTAAAAAAAATGTAATATGTGAACATAATAAATATTATTGAGCTGTAAGAAATTATGAATGTGATGAATACACAGAATCATGGAAAGACTTAATATGAACTGATGCAAAGTGAAGTAAGCAGTGCCAAAAAAAATTATACAAAGTAACTACAACAATGTAAACAGAAACACAACACATCAAAAAAATAAAAATTAAATGTAACAAAATTATAAAGATCAAATGGGATTTGAATAAAAAGATATAAGAAGACACCCCAAACCTACTCCTTTATAGATGGGGGAGGTCCAGAGGTGTTACATACTGCACATCTTTTTGGACTTTTTCAATATATCAATCAGTTATGCTGGCTTTTTTTCCCTCCCTAAAAAATACTATTTGCTATATAGGATGGCTCTAGTAGAGGGACTTTATAGTGATGGAAAAAAGAGAAAATATCAACAAAAACTCATTTAAAAAAATAAAGTTACCAAGATACTAAAAAAAGTAACACTACTTGCCATTCCTTACTGGTGAGAGGACTACTTTTATTCAGTTCTTGGTGAAGCGTTTCATTCTCTTTTACCACCTCTTCTACTCGTATCTTGAACATTTTCATTTCTTCCTGAAATAAAATTAATGTAAATTTACTACAAAAACAGAAATGTACAGATAGTTATTGCCTTTACCCTAGAATTGTCACTTTGAATAAAATCAGTTAAATCTTGTCTATACTGACTGACACTCATGGAACCTGCCATAGCAAGGAATTCACAATAAAGAAATGTTTCGGTTTACTAGCACCTGGGGGTTTTGGTTACTGTAAGAACCTTAATATAGCGTCTCCCATGGCTAACAATGCTCCCAAAGCATTAAGTGAGACTGCAGTGCATTCATCTTAATTATATTTATATATATTTTTAAAAATTGATAAATACTTTGAGAACTCCCTCTTTTCCCCAATTCTATACTAAAAAAAAAAAAAAAAAAAAAAAAAACATAAATTCTTGTTATACTTTTCCAGAGCAGGGAGAGGAATTTTTATACTGGGAAACTCATTTAAGCCAGTGGTCTCTGAAGTAGGAGCCATATCTTGAAACCCAAGGAGTATGTAAACTATCTGGGAGCGTGAGAAGATGAAATGCATCCACTCTTACCCCTGAACTGTGTAGTCAACTATAGGCTTATCTCCAAAAGAGCTAGGTACAGCACCCTCTTAAGCACCTGCATCCTACCTCCTGTTAGCCTTTTGGGACTGAACAGGGGATGGGGCCCTCAAGGCAGCCTTAACCTATTTTGACCCAGCTACCAGCATAAGTTGTGGCAGGAAATATTCTATGTGCCAGGCACTGTGCTAAGCACTTTACAAATATTATCTCATTTGATCCTCACAACAACCCAGGGAGATAGGTGCTTGTATGATTACCACTTTACAGTTGAGGAAGGTGAAGCAAACCGAAGTTAAGTGACTTGCCCAGAGACGCACAGCTAGTAAGTGTCTGAATCCACATTTGAACTCTGGTCTTCCTGTCTCCAGGACCAGCACTGTACCACTTAGCTGTTTCTGAGTATAGCACCCCTAAAGTCTGCCCTGTTCTCTCATCCTGTCATAGCAGCAGGGCAGCAAGCACCTACAGGCTCTGCCCTCTGGAGCAGTGGTCCCAGAATAAGCTCTCCCCCTCACCAATAGTTTTTGTTTTCTCTGGGAAAAGGAAGTATCATAGGATAAGTAGGCAAACCCATCCCTCTTCTGAACTTCCCTCTTCCTGCTAAGTTTACCACCATTCTTCCAGTCACACAGTCACACATGCCTCTCTCTCATTCCACATTTTGGATCAGCTACCAACTCTTGTCATTTCTATCTGTACATTTCTCACCTCTCTCTCTTTCTTTTCACTCATCAATCCTTCTCTCTTCCACCTGAACTATTACAATATCCTCCTTGAGGCTTAGCAATTTTGTTAGTCTTTTCAAAGAACTAGCTTTCAGTTTTGGTTATCATTTCTATAATCTTTTGGATTTATCTATTTCTGTAAATTTCAGTATCTCCTCTTGTGTGTCTGCTTTGGGGTTATTTGCCGACTTTCTAATTTTTTACAATGCATATTCAATTCATCAGTCATCTTTTTTTATTTTGTTCAAATGCATATTTTTAGGGATATAATTTTTCCCCTAAAGGCTGGTTTAGCTGCATCCCGAAATTTCAGTTATTTCATCATTACCACTTTTTTTCACATAATTTTTCATTGTTTTTATAATGTTTTTGGCCCATTGTTTTAGGATTTCAATGTTAAGTCTCCATGTGACTATTTCTGCCTTTTTATATTTGTTTACAATACCTCTGTGCCCTAATACATGATCAGTTTTTATAAAAGTAGTGCTGAAAAAACAGGTATATTTTTCTTTAGTAGTCTCATTTAGAAGACACCATGAATCTTTTAGCTCTGATTTCTCCAGCAATTTGTTCAATTCTATATTTTCCTTTCTTTTATTTTTCTGTTAGATTTATCCAAAACCAAGAAAAGAATACTAAAATCTTCTATTATTATTGTATTAATGTCAAGGTTTTCTTGTAACTTGGTTCATTTTTCCTTGATAAATTTAGATGCTAAGGCAAGAGTATACATTTAATAATGAAATTGGTTTGTTGTCTGTGGTTCCTTTCAGCATAATTTCTTTACCTCCATGTTGAGAAATTTTGTTTTTGCTTTGTCTAATAGCATGATTGCAGGTCCTGCTTTTTTTTGGATTCATTTGATGCATAGTATTTTTTGTTACAGCCTCTTTATTTTACAAATGTCTTTACTTTTTAATATGTTTCTTGTTTTGTATTCTTTTTCCAATCTGTCACTTTCTTGTTTATTGGGTTGTTTAATCCATTCATATTTAAAGTTATGAGTCAGCTTTACATTTCCCTTCACTCGTCTCTAATATCTTTTTTCTGAACTGATTTAAAATTTTTTTTGGTTCTTCCTCTTTAAAGACAACACTTCCTTCACTTAGTTTTTCCAGTTTTTGCTTCATCTACTTTAAGGGAACCCTATTCCAACTTGCCTTTTTTAACCTCACCTAAGTCCACAACCTCCTACTTGTTATGAGTTTTAGAATTTTACTTATTAATTCCTTTTTCTTTCTTCTTTTTATCTAGCTAATTCTTCCCCTGTATTTTTTTCTCACTTAAATAGTTATATAATATTCCCATTTGACTTTTGTTACATTTTGGTTTCTTATTCCCTACATCTTTTTCTAAAAAAGAATTTCCCCTCATTTTCTTTGTCAATTCTTTCCCCTATCTATCTGTCTATCCTAAACTTTTATTCCTTGATTCATGGTCCTTAAACATACTTATTATTTCTTTAGTCTCTGTGTTTCTTGTGAAATTGAAACTTTTAAAGTACCTACTCTGAATTCCCTCTTCTAAATGATTTCTATGTTAATACCTTCTAGGTCTTGCCCCTACCTTATTTCTGTTGTGTCTCACTCCTAGAAGTATCAATTCCTGCAGAAGACAGAATACTGCCACATGGTAGGAATTCTCCTGTGACCCTGATCACGAACGAGGTCCATTTCTAACCAATGTCCTCTCCATAATAATTTTCTTTTCCATTTGCCACTAAATTGCTTCCTATGTCCTCCTGTCCTTCTAGATGTCACCTGCCCCTAGAAGCTCTGATTCTCCTTCTTAGGAGGTGAGATGCTGTCAATGGACACATAACACTCTCTCAGAAGTGATGATCTCTCTGACCACCAAGGACAGTGAGAGCGAGAGACAGAGACAAAGACAGTGCATTAATTAAGAGCCTGGTGTATCAGGCACTGCAGTAAGTGCAATAAGACCTTTATAAGGTTTTCTCCTGGTCGTTTACAGAATTTATTGTTTGTCATCGGAATTGTTAAATCTAACCACTATATAACTTGGAGCTTATAGCATAGGTTTTTTGTTCGTTTTTCTAGGGGTACTCTGTGGTTTCTTTCAGTTGGTATTGTTTTCTGTATTCAGAAGTTCTAAGTAGATTTCTTATATTATTTCTTGAATTACGGTTTGAAGTTTTTTAAAAATTGCTGTGTTCTTCTGGAAGACCTACAATCTTTAAATTGTCTCTATACATCCTATATTGAAAACCAACATGCTTTGCTGGTATAGATATCATATTTTTTTTAATATTATTGCTTTTTGCTTCTCTTCTTCCATGTCATGCTTCGCTTTTATATATTTGTACTCTCAATTAGTTGTCTCTTTAGCTTCAGTAGAAAGACTAGCCACTATGAATTCAAATTTTTATGTTCTGACAATTATTTCTGCTGTACAAGATATAAATTCTGCCTTCACAATTATTATTATTTCCTTCTTGAACCATTCAGGAATATCTTGCCATAATTCCAGGCTCTCGTGGGAATCTAGGGGGTTCCTTGCCTTATTAGATGTTAGTTTAATTTTATTTGTCTTGCAATATTTATTCAGAGATGTGTGGACTCATTTGATGACTTTCAAGGCCCTCTTCCCATCTGTTTTAAGATCTTCTCTGTTGGGGTACGTGCATGCGTGTGTGTGTGTGTGTGTGTGTGTGTGTGTGTGTATACACATACATATGTAAATGCTTGTGCTCAAGTTTTTTAACTGAGTTGTGTGTATGTGTGTATATATGTAAGTGTGTGTGTGTGTGTGTGTGTAAATGCTTGTGCTCAAGTTTTTTAACTGAGTTTTGTTCCTCCTGAGCTCTTTGATAATTTCAATCTCTTTCCTTAGATTCTTCTGTCACTCACTTTGTAATGACTCCTACTTTGATGACAGATTTCCCATGGCCAGACAGCAAAACTGTCTCAATCCCTTCCACATTTTCTAGATCTCTTCAGATGATTTTTGCTGGGCAGGAGCTTGGTTTGTTTTTTTCCTGCTACTTTGCCATCTTGGCTCTGCCTCCCACTAAATTACTATTTTTAGCAATAAATAACAATGACATCTGTGGTCTGAACAAATATTTTACCCCAAAAGTGAACAATAGTCTCTTTATTTGCAGACATGATTAGCTCAGCATGTGCTGAAGCTATGTGGATATTTTGTCACTGTCTTATGGAAGAATCTTCAAAAACTAAACTGCAAAAGGACCCACATGTACAAAAATATTTCTAGCAGCTCTTTCTGTGGTGGCAAAGAACTGGAAATTGAAGTGGTGCCCATCAATTGGGGAATGGCTGAACAAGTTGTGGTATATGAATGTAATGGAATACTATTGTGCTATAAGAAATGATGAGCAGGCAGACTTCAGAAAAACCTGGAAAGACTTATATAAACTGATGCTGAGTGAAATGAGCAGAACCAGGAGAACGTTGCACACAGTAACAGCCGCATTGTTCGATAACTGACTTTGACAGACTTAGCTCTTCTCAGCAATATGAGGATCTAAGACAACTCCAAAAGACTCATGATGGAAAATGCCATCTATATCCCAAAAAACAACCATGGAGTCTGAATGTAGATGGAACATACTATTTGTTCTCCTTTTCTTTTGTTGTTTTATTTCTTCTTTCTCATGGTTCCTCCCATTAGTTCTAATTCTTCTATACATCAAGACTAATATAAAAATATGCTTACTACGAATGTATAAGTAGAATCTGTATCAGATTACATGTCATCTTGGGGAAAGGGGAAGACAGGGAGGGGGAGAAAATTTAAAACTCAAAATCTTATGGAAGTGAATGCTGAAAACTAAAAATAAATATACTATTAAAAAAAAACTAAATTGCAATGTATGCCTTCGAATATCAAGGCACACATTGCAATTTAGTTTTTGTGTGCCTTGATATTACTAAGTATATTATTACTACGGTGAAAAGCATATCAAATACACTGGATGGTTTCTCAAAAGGAAAAAACTGATCTCACTCAATACTAAGACTCAACTGAGAAATATCACTTTTTATTTAAATCATTTAATTATTTGGATTAAGTACTTAATAAAATAAAAAAAGTAGGACCAAAGGCTCTCATTTAAAAAAAAAACACAAGGAAATTAAGACACTCTTGCCTTTCAAATCTTCAGACTAAACTTAGTATGAAGTATACTAAGTTCAAATTTCATTATTTGGATGGTATGAGGTGAGGCCCAGTTTGAGACCAGACAAGATGAGTCTTCAAGGTTCCATGAAACAAACATTTATTTCTCACTGAATCCTTCTAAGAGTAGAAATTAATTTAGACCTTAAATAAAAGGACTGAGAAGTTTTACACATATTCAAAAGGACTGAGAAGCCCTACCCACAGCTGCTCTGTTAGGGTCCCTCATAGTACTAGTGTGCTTCTGTGATTGGGAGTCATTCCTGTGAGGAGTGACACAGAAATCCACTGAAACTTAGCTCTCAAGGAACTATCATACACTTCAATTCCTGCCTTTCTTCAGGATCAGACCCACCCAAAATATGAAGTAGGTAAATTTTGTCTTAAATATCCTCTGAATCGTCTTTTTAAACCATTTTCTCTTCTAGTGAAAAACACCCCCTTTTTATTCCACTCGGGCACCTAGTGACATCATGCTCTCTGGTTACTTTTTGACAGAAAATCCTGTTCATAGAAAATAATCTATTCATAATAAATACATCCATTCATACTAAATTATCAATGACTCATAAAGTTTAATTTGGTACTTCATTTGGACATCTGTACATTTATGATAGGGCCCAAAATTAAGAGAATGAATGGTAGCATTTCAGGCATCAGAAGATAATGGAAGTTAATTTTATCAACAAAGGGATTCCCTGAGGTCCCTGAAATCATATCACATTGGCAGCTGCCTTCCCTAACTCACTACAAGTCAACAAAGCCCTCCCTGCTTAGCAGAGAAGACAAGAAAAACAAATCAAGGGCTCCAAATACAAAGACTGCTAAAAAGTTCAAAATTTGAAAATACCCACCTTCAAAATATCTCAAATTCAAAGTTCCTTTACTTCAAAATCCACCATCTTCTAAAATGTGCAACATACCTCAAGCATGACATTTAGATCATCCTTTTCTTTCATTCTATCTTCATAGGCTAAGAGTAATGGTGATAAATACTTTCTATCCAACTAAGGAAAAAGAAAATTAAAGGAAATAAATACTTTATTTACATCTTTACATCTTTACTTACCTTTCAGTAATGAAATGCTAGTAAGAAACTTCACTTTTATTTTGAAACTAGAAGTAAAGTTTAATAACTGCACAAGTTAATGACTGTGTATGTCTAGCCCAGGCAATACAAATATGAATATTAAAGATAGGTTTTTTCACTTACCAGCCAAGGTGGTGGAGGCCCCTTGAATGGAAGACCTTCAATTTCTATATTCTAAGTACAGAACAAAAATTGAAGAGAAAGTTAAAGAGATTTTTGTTAAAAATATAAATTATTAATAAATATTATTCAATATATCCAATATATAAATAATTTAATATATAAATATTATTAAAATAAATAAAAATAAAAATTAATTAATTCCAGGTTTTCTACTCTCTATCTATTATCAGGCATTAAAAATAAACAAACAAAAAAGCAAAACAAAACATGTGGCATTTAAGCCAAAGGATTCATTGAGAACTATTTTCAACAAACTACTGACATTAGACAAAATTACAACATAGGTGAACTAAGTCTTTAGCATTCTTCTTCTGCCTCCTAACCAGTACATTCAGTGATCTCATTTTATTGTAATCCAAAGCCTTTGCTCACAACTCATCCTCCCCAAACCTATTCTCTCCCAATGTACCCTACTCTCCAAAACTTTAATCTTGACTCTCCCCTAATTAAAATTCCTGTCCCTCACTGTAGCTGCATTAATAATAAAATTACAGTAATCAATACTAATTCAAGTTAGGTGGCAGGGTGGATAGATTACCAGGCCTAGAGTCAGGAAGACTCATCTTCCTGGTTTCAGATATTTATTAGCTGTGAAACCCTGGGTAAGTCACTTTACCCTGTTTGACTCAGTTCCTGATCTGTAAAATGAGCTAAGAAGGAAATGATAAACCACTCCAGTACTTTTGCCACGAAAACCCCAAATTGCTAGGTGGTGCAGTGGATACAGCTCCAGTCTTGGAGTCAGGAGGACCTGAGTTCAAATGTGACCTCAGACACTTGACACTTACTAGCTGTGTGACTCTGGGCAAGTCACTTCACCCCCACTGCCTAAGCAAAACAAACAAAAAAACCCAAAAGGGGTTAACAAAGAGTCTGAAACAACTATACAACAAATTCATACTAAATTGCTAACAGCTAATAGACTTAGTCTTTCAACAGAATCCCTGTATTTTATTCAGGGGGCTTATGAATCCCCTCATTCTATCTCTCCTTCTTATACCATGAGAACAAAATAATCAATCTAACACTCTCCTTTTGAAAGACTGCTTACCCCTAACCTATGATGACTACAAAGTCCAACTATGTGATACCTACCTAGTAATGAAATCTCTCACTAAAAAAAAAAAAAAAAAAAAAAGACTACTCATGGCTAATTAAATGTTTCATTAAAATATCCATGTATTAGTTCAGGGAACCTACACCCAGAGTTGAAAGAGAAATCAGGGGTCATCTAATGTCCTTCATCCTAGACAGATGAAGAATCAGGCCCAGTGACTTTCCCAAGGTCACTCACACATGTAATAATCGTCAGAAGCAGAATTTGAACCTAGGACTCCAGAGTCAGTACTCTTTCCACTGTACCAAAATACTTGATCTGTTAGAGAAGGAAAAGGAGAGCAAATCCAAGCCAACTCCTTAAGAACAAAAATATTATGCAAAAATCAAATATTTAGTATATCACAAGACAAAATTGAGGAAAAGTTTGTGATTAGGGAAAAACATTTATGGTGGGATGATTAGGGGACTCCTCATCAACTGAACCCCACGATGCACTTGGATAAAATTGTAGGGCATGAGAAGAGGAGCATTTCCCATGGAGCCAGATATCTGCTCTGGCTCAGCACTGAAAGATATAAATTCTGGAACGCAACTCTTGATAGGTCCCCTTGTGTATCTCTGTATGCCAATCCCCATCTCTGTATCTCAAGAAGTATCTCAAAGATGACTGATGACTAAGTCTGGAAGAGCCACTATCTGTGGGTTACAAGAAGAGCTGGGGAGAAAATGCTCCATCCCTTTGGGTTCAGCCTCATTTGGAGATCATCCAGTGCTTTTTCTCCCCTGCACTTGATTTGGTCATAGGGAACTTCTATGTCCATCACAACTCCTACTCCCCCAACCCACCCCAAATTAAATGGCAGCTACAAGCATATGGTAGCCAAGAACATGCATGTGCTGGCCAAGGCAAGCTTGAGTTCCTGGCTGTTTGCTTATTGTGGCTTTCTGTTTCCATTCCTGAGCAAAAGTCAGTAGATGATAACACTGAGAAAGTGATGTTTGTACCTTTGGCAAACCTCTGGTTTGTACCTACTTTTAACGACTGTCTGGGAGTTCTGGAGGCTGGTGGTGACTGTCAGACAAGAAGTGATTCCTGTTAACAGCATGTTTTTCAGAAGAGAAAATGAATACCAACAAGGCCATCTTGAAATCTGATGAATTAAAAAAGCTGACTAGGAGATTTGGACCTTGTGAGATGCTTCAACAGTGCATGCCACAGGTGAATATGAAAGATCCTAAATATCCCACAATAATCCCACAAAATTTGCCTCCCAAGAATGTAACAAGCACAATGGATTACTGTTTTGTGTTTTTATATTCATATCTGTTAACATATACTTATGAGTTTTTTTATGTCTTAAGCATTCTGTGGTAGAAAAAAATAAACCACTATACTTTTTTGTGGCGTATTTTGTTTGAGTACCTTTTATAAAAGTGATCCCTGTTATACCCTACTTTTGGGGATGGCCTCTTATGCCAAGTTTCAAAGATGTCTCAGAGTTCTACTCTAGAGATGAGGCAACGAGCCAGAAAGGAAAAGCCACAGAGAACACTGACCAGCCATGCTTTGGCGGGTCATCCAGCCCCCCAGAACTGAACCTAAGCAGGGTGAGTCCAGTCTTGGAAATCCTTGTGGAAGGAACACACCCTGGGTTACAGCCTACATCTATTTTATCAGTAAGAAATATCATCCACTAGATCTCTAAAATTTGTCCAATTACACACAATGCATGCAACAATAGTTCCAAAATTCCTGCTATTGTTTTACAACAGAGTTGGCTTTCCTGCCCTCTACCTTTTCCTATATAAAAGATCAATCTAAGATTACCTTCTCTTCTCTCTACCTCTACCTCATTTATTATTTTTTTCTTTTGCTCTGCCCATAGTCAAAGAACTAGTCCATGTTTTACTTTTTTCTTATTTTACTTATTTACTTATTTTTTTTTTGTTCTGGTATATTATTAAGTCCTTGTCATTGAATCGGGGATGATCCCCAAGGTTTCCATGACACTACTGTTTCTTGATTTTCCACCTGTCTGACCTCGTCTCAGTTTCCTTTGCTGGACTTTGATCCAGGCCTGCCCATTAACTGTGGGTATTCCCCAAGGCTCTGTCTTGAGCCCACTTTCTCTCTCTATACTATTTCAGTAGATGATCTTATCAGTTCCCATAGATTCAATTATCATTTCTATGCTGATAATTCTTAGGGCTACTTTTCCAGCCTAAACCTCCAGTCTCATATCTCTAAATAGTTATTCCACATCTCAAAATCGATATCCTATATACGTTTTAAACTCAACATGTCCAAAACTCAACTGTTATCTTTTACTCCAAAGCCTTCCTTCTTCCCATTTTTTAACTTTCCTACCACTATTAGTCTTTGAAATCATTCAGGCTTGTAACCTAGGTATGATCCTGAACTCCCCTTTCTCTTACTCCTTCTATAACATCCAATCTGTTGCTAAGTTGTGTCGATTCTACCTTTACAACATCTCTTCTATGGGACCCTTCTTTCGTCTGATATTGCCAACACCCTAGAACAGGCCCTTATCACTTCATACTTAGACTACAGCAATAACCTTTTGGCTGGTCTCTCCGCCTCAGTCTCTCACCATGCCAGTCTATCCTCCACTCAGTTGTCAAATTTATCTTCCTAAAGCCCAATACTGAGTATTTTACTCCCCCACTCAATAACCTCCAGTAAATCCCTATTACCTCCAGGATCAAATAGAAAATCCTCAGTTTGGCTTTTAACCCCTTAACAACCTGGTTGCCTCTTACCGTTTTTGTTTTCTTATATCTTTTTACCCCTTTCTCTCCCATGTACTCTTGTGATCCTGTAATGCTGGCCTCCTTGCTGTTCTTCAAACAAGACACTCTATCTCCCAAATCCAGGCTTTCCCCCCATGTCTGGAATACTCCCCTTCCTCATCTCTGTCTCCTGGATTCCCTGGTTTTCTTCAAGTCCAAACTAAAAATTGCTACCTTCTACAGGAAGCCATTTCCAATTCCCCTTAATACTAGTGTTTTCTATTATTTCTAATTTATCATCTTTATTTTGTGTTTTTATATAGTTGTTTGCATGTTGCGTCCCTCCATTTGACTGTCAGCTCCTTGAGAGAAGAGACTCTTACTTTGTATTCTGAGGGCTTAGTATATTGCCTAACACATAGTAGGCCCTTAATGTTTACTGACATGATTAATGTTTTTTGGAGCTGTCTTGAAGTTTCTTCAATCCCCAGGGTAATTTACATGGGACGATGGGAAATTTAAACAAACATCCAAGGCAGGACCAGCCAAGAAGCTCCTTAGTGAGGGCAAAAAACCAAGTCAGAGAAAATTCAAGGGAGGTCTACCTGGACTTCCTCATCCAAGGGTATTTTGACACCAGAGTTACATTACACCAAATGACACTTTCATTTTCTCCCCAACTTCAAACCCATTTGTGACTACTACATAGCAATCAAGACAAACTTTACTGTTGCCCTGATAGTCACTAAATCACAATTCCAAAAGAAGAGTTTTCAAATCATATCAACACTTCTATAATTCTGACCCCCCCCTAAGTTGAACCCTAATATCAAAAGACAACTGCATCACACACCCTCTATTGTTTGGTTGACCCTAGGTAATATTTATAATGAATTCCTATTTATGGATCTAGTATTTAGTTTTAAAGTTTGTATGGTTTGAAGGAATAATTTACATAAAGATAATTTTTTTTTCTTCTTAACAGCTCATAAAATCACCATTAGCACACTTCTGGAGTTTGATGACAAAGTGAGAATAAATTAATTTGGCATTTATTCCTGCTGGCATCCAGTGGATTTGTTGATATGTACAGTCTTTCTTTTGATCTCCAAAATTCTGGGAAATTTCCTTACATGATTTTCTAAAACATGATACTCTAGGACTATCCATATTTTTCAGGC